TGTAAGTGAACTATCACTGGCACAAGCAACCAACACAGAGTACAAAACAAATCTGAGTGGCTTACAGGGTGTGCTCATGAAGCCTTTGGCAAAGATTAATGCTGATTGCTGTAATAGGAGATACTCTTTCTAAAAAGGAAAAAGGCTGGTGGTCTGTCATCTGATTTCAGTGTATGTATATTTAATTGGACCTAAGGCCAATGATCCCTTGCTCAAGTGCATGCTTCATAATCTACATTGTCGTACCTCGGTGTTTTCGTACCTCGGTACCTTCGGTGGTCTGGACTGTCAGTGTCAGCGTCGTCTGGTCAGGGTTGTCCTGGCGTGCTCCTGACAGGACCTCTACTCCGTTGTTAAACTTTCGGCTGCGTGCATAGAACTTCGCTAGTAACCTTCCTCCAACCTGACAGTTCACCTTTCAGTATGACCCGCTGTAGTCTCCCCTTTAACCAGTTGCTTATCCACCTCTCAACTTTCATATTAATCCCTATCTTTTCCAATTTAACCAATAATTCCCCATGTGGTACTGTATCAAATGCCTTACTAAAGTCGAGGTAGATTAGATCCACTGCATTTCCTTTATCTAAAAAATCTGTTACTTTCTCAAAAAAGGAGATCAAGTTGGTTTGGCACGATCTACCTTTTGTAAAACCATGTTGTAATTTGTCCCAATTGCCATTAGCCTCAATGTCTCTAACTACTTTCTCCTTCAAAATTTTTTCCAGGATCTTACATACTACAGATGTCAAACTAACAGGCCTATAGTTACCCGGGTCGCTTTTTTTCCCTTTCTTAAAAATCAGAACTATATGAGCAATTCTCCAGTCAAATGGTACAACCCCTGAGTTTAGAGATTTATTAAAAATGTTTGCTAATGGACTTGCAAGTTCATGTGCCAGTTCCTTTAATATTCTTGGATGAAGACCATCTGGGCCCCCCGATTTACTCCCATTAAGCTGTTCAAGTTTGGCTTTCACCTCGGATATGGTAATATCTACCTCCTTATCCTCAGTCCCATTTGTTAACTTACTATTATCCCTAAGCTCTTCATTAGCCTCATTAAAGACTGAAGCAAAGTATTTGTTCAAATATTGGGCCATTCCTAGATTATCCTTAACCTCTACTCCATCCTTAGTAATTAGTGGTCCTACTTCTTTTTTTTGTTTTTTTCCTATTTATATGGCTATAAAACCTTTTGCTATTGGTTTTAATTCCCTTTGCAAGGTCCAACTCAACCTGACTTTTAGGTGCTTGTATGGTTCCCTCACCCGCTTTCCTGTTCCCAAAACTTCAAAGTATTGTAACTATTATCCCTGTATATGCAATTTGTTCCTTTTTAAAACTGCCTTCTTTACTTATTCACTCTCCGTTCTGGCACTTCCCTAATTTCAAGAATTCAAATGTCCAAGGAGCGTAAGGGCATGTCTAGACTTCATCCCTCTGTCAGCAAAGGGATGCAGATTAGGCAGATTGACATTGCAAATAAAGCGGGGATTTAAATATCCCATGCGTAATTTTCATAAAAATGGTTGCCGCGTTTTGCCAACTCAGCACTTTGTCAGTAAAAAGTGGCAGTCTAGAGGGGGATCTGTCAAGAAACAAAGGCTTTTTTGACAGATCCTGTAAACCTCCTTGCAGGCCTTCTTTCTTGACAGATCCCCCTCTAGACTGCTGCTTTTTGCGGACAAAGTGCTGAGTTGGTAAAAAACGGCTGCCATTTATGCAAATTAGGCACGGGACATTTAAATCCCTGCTTCATTTGCAATGTTGACCTGCCTAATCTACATCCCTCTGCTGACAGAAGGATGCAGTCTAGACACACTCTAAGTGTAAGGCAAAGGAAGGATTTAGAAAACAATTGGGTGTTCAGCAGTAAAGGGTGGGCAGATATTCTGTGCAGGGGTAACTGAGAGATGCTCCTCAATCAACCTTTTCCTGAACAGCATAATTAAAACAGCATAAAAATAACAAAGGTTTCACAAAGCTTCAAAGCTAGATAGTATCTATACATGAATCAGACTTGCATAGCTTTCCTATCCTTATTTAGTATTACTGAAACTATTTGACTATCATGAAAGTTATTATTTTTTAATTTTATGGAAAAGGGGGAGGTATTGTGCAGCTGCACTTGTGAAAGTTTCACAGGCATAGAAAATTGATCCATAGAAATTTTTCTTTCTAGTTAGGTGTCATTGCAATTTGTTTTTATATATTTTTTTGCAATGTTACTTTAAAGGCCAGCTGGGAATATACTCAGTGCATTTAGCTTCATCTTAGATAAACCAGTCATCCCGATAAATTAAGCAGGAGAAATCCTTAATCAATATCACTCTACAATGTGAAATGCTTTTAGCATTGCTCAGTTGGTAATTCTTTTTGCCTTTAGATCATGACACTGAGTTCAAAGCTAGAAGTGTTCACTGATAAAAGATGTAAAGTCAGATTCAGACTGAGTGTGAAGTGGTGCAACTCTATTGACATCATAAACTCACACCAGGTTAGAATTTGGCCTACCATTTTTAATACAATACATTGTGCCAAACACAGCCTTCCTCTGTCTCTTTTTAAGTCCAGTTTTAAGTGAAAGATCCCACAGCACTCTTCAAAATGAGAAGGAGGTAAGCCAACGGTTCAAATGTCCATGCTGTGGGTGAATTCACTGTGTAATGGTTGCTGGACTAATAGCATTTTATCTCATTCACTTTGTGAAACATTCAAGGATACCAGAAGCATTCAATGCATTATATGCTCCAAAGCTTTTTTATTCTCTTCAAAATACCCTTTTTATATATCATAGTAAAGGATTTTTTTTAAAAAAAAAGTATGAGAAACCCAGTGATAGAGAATTTGTTTGTATTTGATCTGTATTTGTGTGCTTCCCAGCTCGTATACACTTACCTGTGCTAGCCTGCTAACAAACAAACAAACAAACAAACAAACAAACAAAAGTGTAGCCTGGAAACACAGGCGATTGCTTCAACTAGGTACCTGTGTGTGTTTTTGTAGAGGGCATGGGGTGGGTGTTTATGTATTTAGAAAGCTAGATGAAGCCATTCCCCTGCAATCCCAGCTACGCTGCTACTTTTAGTGCACTTATTCAAGCCGAGCTATCCCAGATATATCTATGTCAATTGAGAATCACGCATCCTGGCTCAAAGAAAGACGTACATAGAAATATTGTGATACAGTACATACCATAAGCTAGACTGGTGGTGGGAAACCTGTGACCAGAGGACCACACACAGCCCATTGGGGTTCTATGTATGGTTCCCAAGACATTCTGCTGGTTTCCATTCATATTCCTAGAATTTGCAGGGTGTGCCAGTTGAACTGTAGCAGTGCTTTGATTGGATGCAGGGGGAAGTGAGGTGCATGTGCATGTGGATTGCACACAACATTGACTGTGAGAGCCATTAGTTCCCCCTGCATCCAATCAAAGCACTGCTACAGTTCAACTGGCACACCCTGCAAATTCTAGGAATATGAATGGAAACCAGCAGAATGTCTTGGGAACCATACATAGAATCCCAATGGGCTGTGTGTGGCCCTCTGTTCCTATCTCAGGAAATCATCCTGTTTACAACAATCTTGTGGTCCACTAAGATGAAGGAGGGTTACTCATGTGGGCCATTCACTAGCTTTGGTTGCCCATTGCTGAGATAGACTATGTGAATTGCATATAGCTAGGATTCAGAAGTATTTCTTAAAGAGGAAACAAAAGGAAGAATTTTCCCCACTATACAAGAACTCCTATACTTTCTCATGGTGCATAGCACATTCTTCTGCCCTCTCCCCCACTCCCTTTCTGTGCACAATCAATAACAATCTAACAATGTATTTCTGTAAATATCACAGCTCTTGTTTATAGCTATGGATTTAAGGAATGCCTTTGCAATGAGTAACTTTCACTCATACAAACAATCCAGACTTCAGTAGTCTGTTACTCAAGTGAGTAAGGATTTGCAGGACAGGGCAATTGAGAAACAAAGCATTAGATATTAGAAATGGCACTCAGAAACTTAGGAGCTAGTACAACAGAAATACCTAAGTGAGATGGAACTTTGCTGGCCAACACGTGAATAAAGACCCATTTACTTACGTTTTATTGTGCTGACACAAACTAACTCCAAGGTCAACCTACATACTCAGTTTTATGCCTGTACTTTCATATTCCTCAAAAGATTTTATATTTTTTCAAAATGTATAATGACTTAAATAATGGCAATGGTCAGTGTCATATCCAGTTAATTCAACTGTAGTCCTACAGTTAAAAAATATTGCCACGGTGTTTAACCAGATTTTAAATACACAATCCATAAACAATAGTGCTACACTTAACCTGAATAACTATATAAAATGAAGTGGTTTATAACAACCTCTGACAAGTACTGTAACATGTATACCTAAGCAAATGCATGTTATGATCTGAACTCTAATCTTGGGTTGATTAAAATATATACATCCTTCACAGGATATAGCCAAACAACTATATTTGCACATACCATTTACATACATTTATACCATTAAAGAAGATATGAAATCTCCTTAACTATATACTTATTAAACATAAAATCCCACATAATGTAAACCTCCTAATATATAAATTGTAAACAGCGAACAACTCAAATTTTATTTTTTTGAAAAATGCAACTTTTATGGTATGGGGTTGATATTGCCATAAATGGCCTAATTAAGAAAGCTTAGACAGTGATAAACCTGGTTAATATATTGTTATTACACCAGTCCCCAAGTTACGAACACATTGACTTACGACTGTTCGTATTTACAACCAACCCCCTATATAGCTGGAACCCGAGTTATGAACAAAATCCGCACTTACGAACAGCACGACCATACATAAGTGAATGTAATCCGACTTACAAACAGATCAAGTTACGACCTAGTGTTTGGTATGACTCATTCGTAAGTCGGGGACCGGCTGTATAACTGATGAAATCATGTTCTGATTTCAACTTCAGAAACATCAATTTACATCTTACCGTTCACAATAACAGTAATATCCCGAAAGTCGATTTCTCCTCTAGCTTCCACTCTTCCTTCACATCTATATATTCCTTCATCACTTTTATTGATATTAAGAATCTGGAGATTGTTATTTGCTAACATTGCAAATCGATCTAGAAAGTTATGTAAAGAATAAAGTGGTATCAGTAAATTAAAAGTGTTTGGAATACTAATTTAAATTAAGATTAATAATCCCATCTGACCAGATCAAATGGTTCCATCAACAAAACGAAAGGTCATGATATCATCTGCATGTTTTGTTAGTCTATAAAGTGCTTCCAGACCATTTTCTTGCTGTTTTTTTCTGTAACAGACTCACTCGGCTACCCCCTGAAGATCATAAATTAAGTTATTCCACCCTAAAGCACATTGATTTATTTTTTGTTTAACATCAGATATGGTTTTTTTCAATATAAAATAGAAATTCTGTTGTTGTTCTGTGTATTTTTGCTACAGAATTGTTACTGCGGTGTCAATAGAAGCACAATATACATGTAGTACATTAAACCAAATATTAAATACTGTGCTATTTTTAAAGAAAATATAGTAAATGCAGTCTCCCTTATACAATACTCAGTTCTTTCCAATGACCAACGGAAATGAGAATCTTGCTTTTCTAGATAAAGTTAATGAGTGAAATCTTGGTTCTATTTAAATTAATGATAACACTGACAGTGACTGCAATATGGGTAGTATTTCCTCCAATACAACATCACTTATATACAATTCTGCAACTTATTATTATGTATGGGCAGACCTCAAAGAACTTCCTGATTGTAGTAGGTCTCCACCCACATGAAACAAGTTGCAAATTTCAGATTTTCTTGCACATGTTATATAAAGATCACAATATCACGAATGTGCAGGTTAGGTTTTTCATGTTGGTGTATGTAGTAGACTAAAACACTATTTACATACAGTAATTCTAAACCATACAACAATGCCATTTCCAGCAAGTTGTAACTGTACAAATGACAAACTTATGAAATGCGAACATTGCAATGGTGAATAGAATAATTTGTGCAGGACATGTTCACGCTAGCCTTGGTAGCTTGTTTGTCTTGTGGCTGACTGCCACCTGTTTAAGAGATCTTTATAGCTCCATTTAACCTTGCTGTATTTGTAATAGGTACTATACAGTAAATTGCGGACATTGTGAACTGAACAACATTTGATATAAAAACATTGCAGGCCACCTGCATCACCAGTACCAGTCTCCTGCTGCCTACACAATCACACTGTAATTCATGACAATTAAGCTTTTGAAACTGACATTATAGGTACTCTACAGAATGTGCTCAGAGAGTTCTACATTCCATTCAACTATGGAGCTGTTACATCCAACTTCAAGGATACAGCATCAAGTCAAGAAAGAATCTCTTGTGGACTATTTTCCGAGGTCATGGTCTCCCTAGTAATTTTATTTTATTTCCCTGGTCAAAGAATGATGGATAGCTGATCCCTTTGTCACTCATTCCTTCTCTTCATAGATGAGCAGGAGAAAGACTATATGTCTTGGGGATTGAACAGCTGTCTAAGACTATCACCCTGCATGGACAAGTAAAGCTAATTTAGAAATAGGACTTCAGCTCTACATTTCACTGAGGAATCATTCTTTAAATATTCACTTCTGATTCAATGAAGAACTTTCTTTTCTGGTTACCATCTCACTTTCCTGCGTGGAGAGTGCATACAAGCATTTGGAATCTCTAAGACTTTGTACATCCTTCATAGTCATAGCTAATTGTTTTAACTCACGTCATAGAGCTTATTCACTTTGCCACGTACAGCGAAAACATATTTTCTTTATAACTAAAAAGCCAATCACTGTGGCTCTCTCCACAATACAGGTGTTAAAAAGGTTTTAACGGGAAGCTGCTTCCTAATGTAAAATAAAAATAATATTTTGCATAATATAACTGGAAATTACCATTTCATATGCAGATGTCAAATCACTCTACACTTTACATTTTCTATTAATAAAAACCAACACAAAAGAGTGCACATTTATTTCTATAATAAACTTATCTTTTCGTATACATAATATTTGATGAATTTAGGTATTATACTATAGGGATAATTATCCATTGGTTACTGAGGAATAATCAAGGAGATATGTCCAGGTGATACTGTGGGTATTTCTACACTGCAGATTTTTTCCAGAAAAACTACTTATGTCCTCACTACTACTGTGTTCTTTTCACAGAAAGTTGAAAGAACAGAGGGTTGGTTTTTTGGACAGTGCTAAACCTCTTTCTACAAGGAAGAAGTCTTTTTCTGAAAGATTTTTTGGACAAAGAAGAGGGAGTTATTTCAAAAGAAGAGGCCTCCAGGAAAAAGCACAGGTGCCTTGGTGGCCACTCCATCCATACTAATCACAACTTAAATGTGAGATAGCATCCACATTGATTAGATGCTATCTTTCGAAAAAGCACATCTCTTTTTTGTTGTGCTTTTGTGGTGAGGACGCTCTTTCAAAAAAAGTTTTTTCCAGAAGATCTCTTTGGATACTTTGAATCCTACTTTGAATAGGAATAAGAGATCCTCTGGAAAAGGGCTTTATTCCGGAGGATCGCACCAGTCTAGACGCTCTTTTCCGGCTTTTCCCCAAGCCGGAAAAAAAGCGGTGGCCATGTTTATTTAAATCCCGCGGGGGATATTTAAATCCCCTGCGGATTTCCCTATTCCAAAGTTGTAAATTAGCATGCCTCTTCCGGAGAAGGGGCCAGTGTAGACGTAGCCAGTATGTAAGTAGCAAACCCAATTAAAGGTCCGCCTTGGAATCATAGAGGTTACACAGTAATCTGAAAGCATCCAAAATGTATAAGTGATTTTTCAGCACCGACATAAGATCACACATGATTTTATAATAAGAACCCAAATAGATTTATGAAATTTGTTCTTCTTTGGTTGTAATCATACTTTAGTAATGCTACAGTTCCATGCTTTCACTGTACTAAATAAATTTTCATTTCATTTTTAATTAAATATATGGGAAAAAACATACATCTCAGCCACCAACATGAAGGATGTACAAACTCAACCTTCCTTTTTAACACATTTAGTGCAAAAGCTGTGGCAAATAGGCAGGCAGATAGATAGCTCTCCAAAAATGTTTTATGTGCATTGTGAAGTATACAATTATTTTGTTGCACTATAGAGATAGAGAATTCACCGCATCCATAGGTAAAATTAAAATTTACCTTTAGGAAATTTTCACTGATATCTAGCATTATATTTTTGAGACATATATATATATTAAAATAATATTTTCAAAGAAATTAGAACATATAATTTAAAGAGTTACCAAAATACTAACTGTCAGCAATCGTTGTGACCTCCTCATTTCGATATAACCAGCTGACAACAGGTGCAGGTGAACTAGTAACACGGCAAACCACTTCAGCATCTTCTCCTTGTCTGAATTCTTGTGGGGTTATGATGTCTTGGAAAGTGAGTTTCTCTAAAAAAAAGGAAAGCTAAGTTTAACAAGCTTTTCCTGTTTTGCTTAGCAACCCAACTACACCTACAGTTACTTTGAACATCAAATATTAGAAATTAGAGATGTGAAAATTAGTTCATTTTTCCTGTGAGTGCAGTACAGGACTGTTCTAGTGAATTTTCTATGGCTTTAGCTAGACTAGGCATGAATGTTCCTGGAAATTAAAAATCCTCTATGGTGTCTTAAAATTGTAGAAATGTAGGGCTTCAAGGGACCTCAAGAGATTATCTAGTCCATTCCACCACCACCACCTGTTAGGCAAGATCAGGTATACTAGATCATTTCTGACATATTTTTTAAAACCACCAATGAGAGAGATTTCCCAATCTTCTTCATAATCAATTCCAAAAACTATCCTTACAATTAGAATGAAGTTCCTAGTAACTAAAGTAATCTCCTTTGCTGCTAACTCCATTACTTCTACCTTCTGTGGACATGAAGTACAACTGGTACCAACTCCTTTATAATAGTCCTTAACATATTGGAATATTTATCAGGTTCCCCACCAATGTACTTTTCCCAGGAGTAAACATGCCCGGGTTTGTTAACCTTTCCTCACAGACCAGGTTTTATAAACCTCGTTTAAAATATTTTGTTGCTCTTCTTTGGACTCTCCCCAATTTATCCACCTTTGCCTGCCTTAAAGCACAGTGCTGAAAACTGAATGTAATATTGCAGCAGAGACCCCAAGTGTGCCAAGCAGAGGGGAAAATTACTTCCCTTATATTAAGTATAACATTGCTGTTAATATACCACTGAATGATATTAGCTTTTTTTTTTTTTTTTGCAAATGCGTCATATACTGTTGTCTCCTAGTCCTACTGCATAGTTATTCTCCAATTCCTATTTGTGCATTTGAATTCTCCCTCCCAAATGTAGTATTTTGCACTTCTCTTTATTGTACTTCATCTTGTTGATTTCAGACCAATTCTCCAATTAATCAAGACAATTTTGAATTCTAATTCTGTCCTCCAAGGCTGTGTCCAGACTCAAGGTTTTTTTTTGAAAAAAGTAGCCTTTTTTGAAAAAACTTCACCTGCGTCTAGACTACAGCCGCGTTCTTTCAAAATTAAATCGAAAGAATGCGGCTTTTCTTTCGACGGCGGAAAACCTCATTTCACGAGGAAGAACGCCTTTTTTCGAAAGTGCTCTTGAATGCAAACAGGGCTTTTTCGAAAGAGAGCATCCAGACTGCCTGGGTGCTTTCTTTTGAAAAAGCGGCTTGCTTTTTCGAAAGTACTGCTTGCAGTCTAGATGCTCTTTTTCGAAAGAGGCTTGCAGTCTAGACATAGCCAAAGTGTTCGCAATCCCTCCCATCTTGATGTCAACCAGAAATTTTATATGGGTACTATGATTATTCAAGTAATTAATGAAATTATAGAATAGGGTCAGACACATGGAGGACCCTATTAGATATTCCCTCCCAATTAGATAGCAACCCATTAATATTTAGTCTTTGAGTATGGAATTTCTACTAGTTATACATCCATATTATAGTAATTTCATCTAGACCACATGTCCCTAGTCTATTAATGATGATGTCATGTGGAACAGTGTCGTAAAAGTCTTTGAAGTAATATCTACTGTTTGAATATATTTTCTTCCTTTCATCTTGCTTTCAACATTTTTGGACTCAACTGTAGAATTCTTACTCATATTGTGAGTATGTATTCAGGTGAGAAATCCTATTGACTCCATTAGTTTTTCTTCAAGCCCTGGCTGCCAAAGGCACGTAATGAATTTCAGTTTTCATGAGGAAGGAGTGGTGAGGGGTTGGGTACTTTTTATCTATCAAGTTTGTGGAGAAAAGCCTGACAAGAGCCACTGGCTCAAACCCCAAAAGGTAAATAATATAAACCCAATTATGTAACAAACGTGGTACTTTTAGCCAATATTATCATAGGGAGGTCAGATTTTTAATTCCTGGTCTTGTCTTGATAAAACCATGTGTAAGTATTTAAGTTGTATGTATAAGGGTTGCGTAATTTTAGCTATTATTACAAAATAGCTCAACGTCCACACTGTGGCTTTTAATGTGCCACTATCTTTAGGAAGCAGTCTGGAAATGTTCAGACATAAGAGGAGCTCTAGTGGAACCACTTCTCAGTGGAACATCCTCTCTCTCCACAACTCATTGCACATGGACATATGTAGATGGAGCAGAATGCTTTCCTCCAGTGCATTATCTCTAGTTCATTGACTCCATAAAAGACAGAGGGCAGAGCTGTAGGGCTGCCTTCTCCTTATCTGTCCCTGTTCCATTTTCGGAGCTGTGAGAGGTGTGGTAAACCGTACATGTGCTACCCATAGAATGAATTGCTATCAGGAAGATGATACTAACGAAGTCATCCAATGTTCATCGAAATCAATGCAAATACTGCCACTGACTTCAATCAACTCAGAATCAGACCCAAAAGGAAATGTGCTAGATTTCAGTTAAATTTCTGTCAAACTTCACATCTTGTGCCCAGCTTTCTATGATTTCTTTTGTTCCATCTTGAGAACTATTTTAAAAAAAGAATTACTATGTCTCTTCCTGACAGATTTCAAAGGATTTCTACCTTGTACAGTAGTCAACCTGTATACTGACTGGCAGCTTTAAGCATAAAAACGATGACTTTTACAGAATATGAAATCCTTTCTTTGAACTACCAACTTTGCTACTGTCATGTAACTGTCATTATTAGCCTGAATGGTGGTTTTATCAATTAAATTTATTTTTTAATTTAACTATCATTTTGAATCTGCTGTAACTTTAAAGCTCCAGTACTTTAATATTTTATTTTGCATTTACCTCTCACATGTCAGTTATAAGTCTTGACATGACTATGAACTATATCCGGTCATGAATATATAGGCAAAAGTCACCATTTAAATAAATAAGAAATTCAGATTAAATACCACGGCTTCAGTATGTCCACTTCTTACTGTTTTTTGTTAGCCTTAAGCCTGTTCTGTGTTATTCAATTTGAATGATACATATATCTAATTGACACAGAATTCCATATGTTTTAAAGTGATTTTAGTTACACTTTGATAAAGTTTCTGTAAGATGCTTTTATATATTCATGTTGCACAATGCAGCATATTTACATTTGAGAAAATTATCCTCCATTAACTGTTTAACTCTATTTTCAAAATAATATTACTTTGGTGACTTAAAGATTTATACATCATTATATTAGGATTTTATGTTACACACATCCCTTATGCAGCCAAGAGCATAGAACGATAAAAACCATTTCATTGTAAACTGTTTTAAAAATATATCTTGTATCTTGCACTCTAACTCAATTCAAAGTTTGAATTGAAAGAAAATTTTGGTGCACTTCTTTCTCTCCCACACACATGTACTCACACTATGTTGTTTTCATAAACAAGATATCTAAAGTACATCCTTATGATAAGACTCTGCATTTTAAGAGATCTGGTTAGTGGTGCTATATCATATTGGATTAATATTATCTATTGCTCCTAAAGTGAGATATATAGAGAAGAGGTACATATTTATTTAATGTTAATTTTCTGAATACAAATGGAATTCAAAATGATCCTCTTTTTTATTTTTATTTTTTCTTGTATGTTTCACTTACGATAAATTTCCAGAACGACAGTAGCTTCTTGAGTCTGTCCTTTTGCATCAGTTGCTTGACAGCGATATATCCCAGCATCTTCTACATTTGCATTGTAAATAGTTAGCCGTGATCTAACACCTTCTTTTTGAATCACCACTCTTTGATTAGAAGCAATCTTCTCTCCTTGCGGATTGTACCAGTCTATACTGTCTGGCTCACCAATTGCTACAAAAAGCAGTATTAACAGTAAGGTTCAGATAGACACTAAAACATTACAGTTGCGTTCTTTCTCAGCTTACCTTGTCAGTAGGGGGGACAACAGTTATTAGAAAGACAAAAGAAAAGTGGGCTAGTATGAGGGCCATAATTTAAAATGTTGAGATATTAATAAGAAGTAGGAAAAAATATATATCCCACTGAACTGGTTATCATCAAAAGGTCCACACTGTCTAGTAACTATTTGGGGCATTTGTGGATATTTTAGAAAAAAATATTTGGATCATACCTTTGCCCAAAATCCAAACAACTTTTCAACAAAATTCAAAGTCCAAAATCAGAGCATTTTTCTGCACCACAACATAGTCTAATGTGCAAGTACTAACATGTTTGTCCTTTTTGGTCCCACCCTATCTTCACATTTCAAAAAAGATGTACAAAACCAAAAAATGTCAGCTTTTTTGACCAGTTCTATTGATATTTCTCAAAAATATATGTTCTCGCTGTATTTTATTTGAACCAAAAGCAAAGTTTTGGTTATGGGTCAAAATATTATGTTGTGTAGTCATGATAGCAATATTTATAGAAAGAAAAAAAGATTAAGAACAAGGATCACAGCTTCATTTTGCTAGTTTTTCTTTTTAATAATTGTGTAGAGAACAAATGGTTTTGGCCAAATTTTTGAATGAAACAAAAATGAAATCCAAAACTGTAAGTAGATTACACATTATACATACATACAAATACTTAAATATTTATCTGCAAGAGTAAATATGTGCATTTCACTCTAGTTTTAAATTGCCATTAGACTACAGTTTTTAAGTGAGCTAGGAACTGGTGAGCAATCACTGGCATATATTCAAAAAAGAGTCCTTAAAACTATGGCCTTGTCTATATTTATTTGGAGATTGACCTTCTGGGGCTCGATTTAGTGGGTCTAGTAAGGACCCACTAAATTGACCGCTGATGGAATCCCCATTGACCCTGGTACTCCTCCACGGGGTAATAAAGACTAAGGGAAGTCAATGGGAGAGTTACTCCCATTCACCTACTATAATGGAAACACCACAGAAATTCAATTTAAGGTACATTGACTTCAGCTACACTATTCTCATAGCTGGAGTTTCAACCCACCAAGTTTAGACTTGGCCTGTATCATGCTTTTAAGAATGCTCTAATTTCCAGCTGGTTGAAGTTATTTTTTCTCTTTTGCTTTTTTTAAACTTACTATTTTAATACATTGCAGCCCAAACTGGTTAGCATAAATTCCCCCAGATATAAGTATAGGGGTGGGCAATAAAAAAAGGCAGCCCAAAGGGTTAGTCTCTGGCAGGCTGCTACTGCTATGTTTACCTGCAGCTCTGCAAGTATCGGATGATCACAGCACTGGTTGGCTGCAAATCCCCATTTGCAGCCAATGTGAGTGACAGGAAGCATTGTGGACTGGGACACTGCTTAGCACCACTCACATTGGCTGGCAAATGGTGATTCGTGGCCAACGAGAGCTGCAAACCTCCAATACCTGTGGAGGTGCAGGTAAACATGGAGGTGGAGACCCTACAGGGATTAACCTGCAGATCAGATATGGTCTGCGGGCTGGAATTTGCCCACCCTGTCTAAGTATTTGCTAGATATGCAGAAAAAAATGGGCCAGATTCAATATAAAAACTTGGTACTACTGCATTCTGCATACACTAGCTCCTGACTTGGAATTAAAATAAAATCCTAAGGTGGAGAGGGATAGTTCTCTGCAGAGTTTTCTCTATAACATCTACATGACATCAACTAAGGAAAGGTAGCCTGGGATCATTCTTTCCCTCAGTGGATTATGAGAATGATATCAGCAAGTCTCTCAAGCATGTGAAAAACCTCCTTGACCTCTGGCCATGGGGACTGGTTTCTCCTAGTGATTGACAATCAGCTGTGGAAAGTCCAAAGAGGTTGCATGCCCCAATGAGCAGTTACAGCTGAGAGTTCAACAAGGTTCAGTGGACTTTTGTGATCCGGACAGGAGGATATGCCAGCAAACGTGACCTGTCCTCCAGTGAGACAGGAGTGGGAAAATAAAACACAGGATCAATCTGAACCAACACAGGATCCTAATCTGAACCTCAGCTTTTGACTGTATAGAGTTCTAGGTAGTTTTTGCTAACAAGACTTACAAGGTCATGTATTTTGCGCAATATGAATCAATCTGCTGATGAGTCATTTGAAAAGAATAATTAACCCTTACCTAATAACACTTAAATGATCCGGCAGTTCTGCTAATACCACAAAGAAATCTGAAACACCATTTACAGACTATTGATTATGTATATTGACAATACTAAAATGAATATTCTCCTATTGATGCATGGATAATTATGACCATTATGACTGCATTGATTGCATAACTCTAAATAGACATTTGATATTCTATCAAAAATTACCTCTGACAAAAATTACTGGTCTCATCTTGAGAGAGGCAGTATAGATCAGTCACTAATCTGATTTATTACACACTTTAAAAAAACGCTAGTTTTCCCAATTTCTTAAAAACAAAATCAATGAATAGTAGAATAATAACTCCATTCCCGGTCATAATAAAGGAATTATCCTACCTATACAGAAATGTCAGCCTTGCACTGGTCAAGACCTTGGACCTCACCAATTGTAGAAGAAAAGACAGAAAAATAGTGAAATCCTGACCTTTTTTCAAATCAGTAGTAATTTTCCACTGACTTCAGTGAGGCAAGAATATCCATCCTTCGAGCTGAATGTCAGTAGCATATTAAAACTATTTCAGCACCACAGAGTGAAGCCTGGCAAAACTCCCATTGACTCAAAAGGGGCCAAGATTTAACCTGACATCTCCACACTAACACCCCTAACATTTCTATATACATCTTCAATTGGCAACAATAAAATGGACCCCTATCAAAGCCCACCTGAGGGCATCTTTGATACATGAAATGTTTTCAGTACTTTTCAAGTTCAGGTCATCTGTTCAAGAAATAAACTCTCTGACACAGTTTATTAAGTACTGCTAAAATGTCCCCTAGCTAGAAAAAGTTGATTTTGTGAGAAAAATTAATTCTTACTTTTCAAGTTACCTATGGTTTACTGGACACTGAAACAGTCACTCATGTGCAGCATGCTATGCCTAATTTATTCATTAGTTATTAACCAAAAATGATTCAATTATGATCTTATATATTCATTCCAGTCTTAGTGTTTAGACTAGTAAAATTATTTAAATAGAACAAAAATTAACATACATAAATAATTTATACTAATGGAATCAATTTCAAAATAAGTGATTTACTCTATTTGGCATTTAAAATCAACAGTCTGTAGACTGAAAGCATGCATTATGTGAAGCCAAGCAGGACCTGCTGTTTATCACAACATGCAAGCAGTCAGAATGCAATGCAAATATTGAAACAATATGTTTTATATGTAAATATTCCTAAGCCAATTAATAACATTCAAACTATGTAAAGGATTGATCTGAAAATTTAGTATAACATACCTGGAGACAAAATGAAATACATACCTGTGCACGTGAAGAATTTGGATTCACCCACACTAAGCTCTACCTTGCTGAGTGAAATTGTCACTTGAAGAAGAGCTGAAAAATACAATTTAAATATAGCATGAATACATTTTTCCTGTATCAGTTAAAAGATGCCTTCACACAATGTGATATGTGCTGTACAACTAATGGCACAAAAACTGATGAAGTGTGTCGGCTAAATAAATCATCTCTCAAAATAGAGTGCATTAGGCAGCGTGGGGGAAGAAATCTAAGAGTAAATCAGAAATAATGATTTAGACCCAAAATATAACATCTCAGTGAAAGTTAACTTGATAGGAAATGTCTTCTGAGCTTCAGGCTCAGGAGATTAACACAGAACCTCACTGTGTCCTAGAGTAAGTAGGTGCAACTCCATAAGCCAATTTGGCCTACAGAATTTGGCTTACATAGGGATATAGCCCACAATGGTATATTAAAAGAAAAAGGAATATTAATTCCAAGCTCTACTAGAAAGAGAAAAAAGTAAAATATCTGCCAGATGGAAAAGGACCAAAACTGTTAGGGAATGAAATTTTATTTACAAAATTCTGAAAGTATTAGAAAAATAATTAGAGGATCATAGGGCTGTACAAATATTAGATTGTGTCCTTTTAACATCTATTTTAGTCTTAAAATACACAATTAATTCTTTGTTTCACAGGTATGTGAAAGTATCTGAACTCTTTTAAAACTATGGTCAGTATGCCTGTATATAGTGAATGCTAAAGACAGCCAATTAGACTAAAGGATTTACCTCATAAGCTCCTTAGCACACCACTATCATGAGAGTCTGAGGATATGTCTAATCATCCATGGCTGGTCCATGCCATCAGATTTGGGCTTGCAGGCCTCAGGCTCAGGAACTGTTACACTGTGGCAAGGGCATTTGGGCTAGCGCTACAGCCAAACTCTTGGATCCTCCCCCTCTCAGGGTCAAGATCTTCAGCTACAGGATGAGTCTGAACACCTATGCTGCACTTAAACTGCCCTTGAAACTGAGCCTGGGAAGTCTGAGTCAAATGACATAGGCAACCTGAAGGTTCTTTTTCATAGCGTAGAGCGAGAATTACTATCAACATTATTGTCAATGACAAAAATCCTTTCTTCCATTAATATGTTACATTTTATAACACTTGGAAAAACTCCTTGCACAGCACTATCTGTACTGTTGTTAACAAAAAATAATGAAAGTATAAGCCTAAAAACAGCCTTGGAAGAGTAATTCACACATAAGAGAGCTGTATCTGGCAATTAGTGCCATCAATAAAAGTCAATCAAAAAATTATGCTATCACTGTTCTATTTCTATATAAACATAAGGAAAAACACCAACCACATCTGAATTCATAGAATTATAACTCACATAATATAAATGAAAGTGGTCCTCTTTACAGAACTACAACAGTGGCCTAAAATACTTACAAACCAAAAGTTCTTATAAAATCCACCCTAAACTTTTAATGAGTATCAAGGGGGGTGATTAAAATCATTATCTAACTACTTTTAATATTCAATTGTTCTGAACAAGAATGAAATGTTAAAGTGGTAGGGATATTCTCTGAGTAATCCTCCTCTGTGGAACCTCTTTGTTGAGAACATTAGAATGAGCTTAAGTCTGCCCATTTTCAGAGGATGATACTAAACCCATTGTGAGAGGATCCCTGGGGTGCAAATGGAACTAGGATACCACTGTGCCCCCCTTAACATTCATACCTGGGCTTTCTCTTGCAATGCTATGCTAATGACCTGCAGAAAAACCTCTCTGGAAACTGCGATGTGCATGTGGAAACCAACATCCACCTAGACTGTATGAATGAACCCTGGGCCAGTCACAAATTACACAGAGAAAGGCATCAGCAAATCCTCCAGTCTTGCAACCTCTTAATATACCGTGTCTTGTTCAGAAGCCTAACCAGTTTTTTTATCTAATCCATTCCTCCCTGCATGTGGAGAGGACACTCAATAGCCTTTATACACTAAACTGAGATTTCCCAAGAGCTTCAAATTAGAATTAATTTCAAAATAGAGGTTTGCATGTATAGACGCTATTAAAGTTAATTCGAAATAACGGCTGTTATTTCGAATTAACTTTGCAGTGTAGACATACCCAAACTTACAGCATACTTCAGTAACAAACATACAGTAAAATCTCATAAACTTAATATGCATTAATTACATACATATTTGGAAAAAACAACGAATTGGGTAGACACCTTTGAGTAGTTGCCAGGAGCAGCCAAAACACTACGTAGTTAAGGAAAGGTTCTTACCCAGAAGATCAAACATCAGTCAGAAATCACCAAAGAGTTTGTAATTCAAAGTTGTCAACCTTTTCCTTGGCTCACAGGATTTATTGTTTTATCAGAACCAAATAATTCTAACCTATCAAGAACAGGACCATCAGAATGGTTGTTATACCGCTTGCTGTGATACGTTAAGCTGTCAAAACTTCAAAAAACAACAAATGGACTAGTAGCACTTTAACCAACAAAACATGTAGATGGTTTCATGAGCTTTCTTGGGCGCAACCCACTTCCTTCAGATGACTGGAGTATTAGAATCCCAGATAATAATAATAATAAATTGGATTATTCTTGGATCTGGACTTCTAATATTCCAGTTATCTGAAGAAGTGGGTTGCGCCCAAGAAAGCTCATGAAACCATCTACATGTTTTGTTGGTCTTTAAGGTGCTACTAGTCCATTTGTTGTTTTTCAAGTGTTTTCTGTTACAGACTAACTTGGCTACCCCTCAAACTATTAAGCTGCCAGTTCTTCATGGCAAGAACTGCCTTTTCTGTGCTTTCACAGGACCTAGCGCAAAGGGGTTCAGTTCTCAGATGGCTCTTCTGCACTACCAAAATACATATATTGTTCTTTTTTAAAGCTTGAACAATTTTTGTTTAAATGTAGGACAGTAGTAAGGGTTTAAGCATTGGTCTGTGAAATGAAGAGATTGTGTTTTCTGATGGTGTGTGCATCTGCCAGTTGCAAAGGGCATTGCATTGTTTTTTCCTTCCTCCTCCCTGTCCCTGGGCCCTTTACCTTCTTTTATCAGAAAGCTAACCTCTATAATGAAGAGGAGGCCTCCCTTAAAGTCAGGGTCTACGATCTTCTTTAGGCATATAGTCAATATTATCTACTGGATAACATTTAAATATACGAGGCAATGCTAATAATGGATTTGTCTATACAAGGTATTTCATTTGCACTGTGTTGACATGCACTAGCCAGTAATCTACAAAGGGCATTCTAAGAACATGTTCATGGGATGACTATTTACCTTTCAATTTGCATCATTGTGTACTCCTAACAGGGGCTTGGAGCACACTAAGGACATGACATTTTGGGAGAGTATCCCCTAGTCCTTTTGCTTTGCTGCTGAGCAATGTACATTCTGGGATTTTTCTCACTACAGATTACAGCTCATAGTCAACTAATTCAGCACATGGAGTTTGACTGTTGGAACCATTACTGTGTGCAGTGTTTTTGTAACCAAGTCAATCCTAGGATATTAGAGACAAAAATGGGTGACATAACACCTTTTATTGAGAGATTTTTTCCAACTCTGGTGGGCTTGGCTTTATCACCGCGGTTGTGAAACTTCCTCCCCAGGTTTGCTGGGCCACGGTCACAAAGATGTGTGATGCACAGTGTACTTTTGCACAAGGTTAATAAAACTTGCTAATGCTCAAGAGATTATGGATGACTTTGCACCACTGAGGATGCAAACTGAATTGGGGACCCATGGGTCTACAGTTTGACTCCTCTCATAGTCAGGGTTCAGAGTTTATAAACAGAAAGGGGTTATTTTGCCATGGTGCTCCAAGGGCTGACTCGTCACCATGATAGGTTTACAAACATAGATGTATGGTCGTTTGGAAAGGTTCACAGTACTAGAACCTTTCAAAAAACAGCTCTAATGACCTTAATGAATAAAGAAATTTGCCCCCAAGATCCCTGTGGACATTCATGGTATGAAGATTGCTCTGGTTATCCTGGGAGACTCAGATTACATTCTGCTTCCCTGGTTAATGAAGCCATTCACAGACCAATTGTCTCAGTAGCTGCAGAACAACTGTGGTGTGCGTGCAATTGGCTGTCTGAAAGGAAAGTGGCACTATCTATGGAGTAAGTGGAAAGCTGCTAGAGGAGAGGGGAAAAACTTGTCCAGGATAGTGGCATATTGCATTTTGCATAGTATAATGAGAGTAAGGGAGAAATCCTTAACAATGGGTGGGAGCAGAAACTTGTTCAGAAGTTGGAGCAACCAGCAAAGCATCCACCACTATACTGTCAGGGATTCCTATGGCTCAGCCTTTCAATTTCAGGGCTGAAACAGGGCTGTACATCCAGCTGATATCTTGGAGGTGATGGGAGGAATGTATTTAAGGCAATACTGTCTCATGTACATGCTGGAAGTGGACATTATGGCCATCCTTATTTTTATCCTTTGTCCTTTCATAAAATCCTATAATTTATGCAAAACTTCCATATTTTCTGAATAAAATACAATGCTATTTGATAAAAACTGATAAAATAATTCAGTAATAATTGTGTAACAACCAGAAACATACATTTCATTAAAATTACAGAGAAATACAGCTTTGAAGTGACACAGCACAGAGGAGGGCAGCAAACAATGGGAGAAAAGAAGTTCAAATTCATAAGCCAGAAAAGATCTAAGCCTCTGTCTTGTCTTGTTCTTAGGCCCTTGAGAGCTGAGTGTCAGGTCTCAGAGTTATCAGGGCATAAAATGGCTTGAAAGAGCTGGGATTATAGTTGCAATTGTTCTGACTGCCTTGAGCTGTGAGAACAATTGCAGGGAGGGGGAATGGCCTCTGAAGCACAGCAGTGGAGGTAAAGCAGAAAATACATGCTGGTAGTTCTAGTACCTTATATTATCGAGGGGCTTGACAACATGGCTCGGTCCTAGTTAAAGGCACAGGATTGCCTGTGCATCCAGTAGCTGTATGCTCTGAAGAACATTCTGCCTCCAGAGTCATCTCTGCATGTTCCTGTCTTTCTCTACAGCATCTATTACCATGGCAACACT